AACGCTGCCACGTGCACGCTCGGAAAATCTATAAATATAGACCCCGTACAACTACCCCACCAAGGGAAATGATTGTAACCAGCACCAGATCCGGGTAGCACCCCTCTGAATTAATTTAAAAATAATAACAAATTAGCGCCACAAAGGAAATTTTTTTTCTCGAGTTGGGGGAACGCTGCCACGTGCACGTTCGAAAAATCTATAAATATAGGCCCCGTACCCCACCTAAGGAAATGATTGTAACCAGCACCAGATCCGGGTAGCACCCCTCTGAATTAATTTAATCTGGTGCTGGTTACAATTATTTCCCTTGGTGGGGTAGTTGTACGGCGTCTATATTTATAGATTTTCCGAGCGTACATGTGACAGCGTTCCCCCAACTCGAGAAAAAAATTTTCTTTTGTGACGCTAATTTCTCACTATTTTTAAATTAATTCAGAGAGGTGCTACCCGGATCTGGTGTTGGTTACAATCATTTCCCTTGGTGGGGTAGTTGTACGGGGCTTATATTTATAGATTTTCCGAGCGTGCACGTGGCAGCNGCAGGGAAGTTCGCCCAAAGAAGACAGGGCGTTGGCCAGGCGACAGCGCTTGGATTCAGCAAGCCCGGTGCATGGCAGCGACCGGAAGCGGAGGCATAGAGGCACACGAGCGGTAGTCTGTCACCTTAGTGCTAAGAGTGTTTCGCAACCACGCCCCTAGGTCATGGTGTCACAGCTTGAAAGGTTGGTCGAAAAACGGAATCTAGGCGTGAGTAATGTATTTCTGACCATAAATATTATTCCAGAATTTAATCCATTGTTGTATGACGTAAATAAATGATAGTTGTTGCTGTTATAGTTGAACAGGGTGGATCCCTGATACTTTGTTCTGGTACAGAGCGGAGTTTTGCTCTGGCAGAGTGGTATTTCCTCTGGAATTTGGTCCCTGGAGGTATTTTTTTATTTTTGAGTGGTATTTGCTTTGGTCAGGTGGATTGGAATTTGGTCACCTGGAGGGTTAACTTTAATTTTTTTGTTTTTTAATTTTATTAAATATGTTTTACTATTATTCTTATTATTTTATTGTTATTATCTTATTATAATTAGGTATTTATTATTACAGCGTAGAACATTGTAGGGTAAATCCCTGATACTTTGTTCTGGTACAGAGCGGAGTTTTGCTCTGGCAGAGTGGTATTTGCTCTGGACAGGTAGACTGGAATTTGGTCACCTGGAGGAATTTTATTGAGTAGTTGCTCTGGTCAGGTAGACTGGTAGTGGTCACCTGGGTATGTTTTTCAATGTTCATTTTGTTTTCTTATTATTGTTACACACGTGTACCCTTGTATATTTCCATAGGTAATGAGTTTAATACGGAATGGAACAGACATTCCAAACTTACAGATAGGGAATTCCGCATTGCTACCACTGGTCTTCTAAACGGTGGCAAGGTTCAACCCCTAGATGTGACTGCCATTCGAGACCATATGACTGCAGTAGCTGCTGAACATCAGAAAGCACAAAAACGTCGCTTTGGTAGGAATCGAATTGTCGGACCGATGTATGGGGAAGGCGATTTGGTTCTACTGCGACTTGCGGCTAGTCCAAACACTGGCAGCAGCCGTATGGTTTAGGACATATCTGGTGCTCTTCTTCCACGCATACCATACGAGGGGACTGCAGAGTCGGAGAATATGAGACGGCGGAGTTATTGTGCTGAGCCCGCCGTAAGTAAACAGAACAGTACAGGTTTCTGGTTCTGGACAGAGCAATGCGGGTTGGGCCCCTGGTCTTTGCTCTGGCAGGTGGGCTATGCGAGTGCGCTTCTCGGTCTTAGCCACCTGACAGGAGAACTATGCGGGTGAGAGTCCTGGTCTTAGTTCTACCTGGAAGCGCGGGAGCTCCCAAATTAGGTGTAGTTATTTTGTATTATTAGCTATTAAGGATTATGCATGTGTGTTCTGTTTTTATTTATTGGTTTATTCGTGTATGCATACACATAATTTTATATTTTCCATGGTTTATTTCTCTTGTATAGATTAGGTGTGAACTGGCAATCGGATTGGTGATAAATGGTTCAGAGT